AGGAAGGAAGGAAGGAAGGAAGGAAGGAAGGAAGGAAGGAAGGAAGGTCGGTCCTGCCTTAGCACCAAGAAACTCCCCTGGAGGACAAGGATTTGGGGCTCTCGTCTTCCTCTGCTGGAGACAAGAGATAACCCCCCCCAGCCCCCCACCCAGGCCACCACAGATGCCCCCGACACGAGTGATGTCAAGCTGGTCACACCTACCCTGGCCATGCCCCCTCCTGGTCAAACACAACCCTGATGCGGCCCTCACTGAAACTGAGTTTGACACCCCTGCACTACAATATATGAACAGCATAAAACAACACTTTTAGTGTGTCAATGAGGATTTTTTACTTTACTTGGTAGTTGAGTGGTAGTTGGGCCTCGGCCGTCCTCCTACATCTGTGTACTGATCCAGGCAAAGCATTTGGAAGAATTTATACCGAGAAAGATTTGGTGGCTTCCTTAACAGGAAGGGATCCGTTTACATTGCCTTCCGAACATCGAAGTTTTCACTTTGATTAATGAGTTTAAAGCAAGACACACACACCCCCACACAAAAAAAAACCTCTGATCGGTTGACTGTGTAATTCGCAATAATGGAGAGAAATAAAGTTGAATTTGGAATTGGCTGGGGAAAAAATCCACAGACTCTCTTCTGTGCTGTGTGGTGTAGCAGAGCAGAGCACTACAGGGTTGTCTCTAATATTAGGCGATCAGCCAGAAAACAATTTGATCATTCTCCACTCCTGACAAGCTACTACTCTTAAAATGCAAACAGAATAGGAATGGGTGCCTTGAGGCTATAGCCATGAATATGTATGTGCCGAATGCTGCTTTGCCAGAGTACACAGTAAACTCCATTAAATAGGCCAGAGTTATTTCACAGCTTGCTGCAAAAAGCAGAAAAATGGAGTGCCCGCCTGATGTTAACCATGGCTCACTTAAACCTGGTTTATTGAGTAACCTACGAATGGTAGGGTTTACGTATTGCATTAAACCGTAAGCTACTGCTCACAACTCGCAGCTGCAGGTAGTCCTCGACTTACGATCACAATTGAGCCCCAAATGTATGCCTCTAAATGAGAAATCTGTTAAGTGAGGGTTTGCCCCATTTTTACGATTTTCCTTGCCACATTTGTTGAGTGAATCACAGAAGTTGTTGTTAGTCACACAGTTGCTAAGTGAATCTGGTGTCAGCTTTGGAAGCCATATTGAGGTCAGAGGCTCCCACGATGCCATATTTTGAGCCTGGAAAAATGGGAGGGGGAGAATTTCTGGGAGTGTATAGCGTTAGACATAACAACATTCTTTTTTTCTAATTCAAGGTCATGTGATTTCGGCACCTGGGTGAGAAGACGTCTCAAGTTGATTCGGATGGTGATTGGGGCACGTGATGTAATGATGGGTGTAGGGGGTGGATTTGTAGTTTTTACTTATTGCAAGGAAATCCGGAACTTTCAGATTCGGGATTCCCTAGTTGTGCCAGTTTACTATCCAAACAAAACAGAACTTTTGAGAAGATGTTTGTCTCGGAGCGATCGGTTGGAGTGGAGGTTTCCTGGAACGCTGACATTTGTCTTCCCTCATTTACTTGGCTTGTCAGAAGGTCACAAAGGGGGAATCACGTGACCCCGGGAAGCTGCGACGGTCGTAACTACGAATCAATTGCCAAGCCAATTTTGATCATGTGATCGTTGATCATGCTACAATGATCATGAGAAAAACAGTCATACGTCACTTTTTTCAGAGCTGTTGTAACTATGAATGGTTGTAAGTCGAGGATTACCTGTACATCTTCATGAGTTTTTTTATAGGGATTCTTCATCGGGTTTTTTTAAAAAGGTTTTCTAGAATTGTAAGCCAAAGCCGCCCTACTAAACCTTAAGGATAAAACTATCTTTAACAGGTATGGCTCTTATCAGACAACATTCCAACAGTCACTGAAAATCTGGTTGTTTTTTTTCTCAGACCTTGGGGACAGGTGGGTGATGAACCTCTGTAAAATTTTATTTTATTTTGTTGGGTTCTTTTTTTTCCGGATGCACATTTCTTTTATAACTTTATTTATCTAATGTAAAGCACCCCAAAATAAGTCATAGGGAGTTGAGAGTTTTTAAAATCTACCGTGTTTCTCATATAATAAGGCCGGGTCTTATTTTTTTTTGAGCCCCGAAAAAATGGCTAAGCCGTCTTTTCGGGGGGTGACTTAATTCCCACCCCCCCTTGCATCTTCGGGCGGGCGGCGATGGCTTGGATGTTGACCTCGGCGTTGGTGGGGCACTTTGTATTGGGGTCAACGCAGGCAGCACCATATCCGGGTGTGCAACAAAAGTACTTCCTAACGGCAACCCCCCCCATTCCCCCCCATTTCGCATGTTTTAATATAGGCCTTAATTTGGGGGGAGGGGCTTAATTTCATTTCATGCCTATAAAACATGCTGGGGCTTCCTATTGGGGGAGGCCGTATTGTTGGAGAAACAGGGTAGGTAATTAAAATAGGAAATAGAATATAGAATATATTCTTTATTGGCCAAGTGCGATTGGACACACAAGGGATTTGTTGCCGCGGCAGGATTTCTCAGTGTACTGTTGGAAGTTAAAACTCACCCCTCTCCGAGAAAAATGAAACATTTTTAGGATATGCTAAAAAGGCAGAATATTTCCCCTAACAGAGGAGCAGAAACTCAGAGAGGCAGAAACTCAGCCCCCGCCCCCACCCCCACGCAACCTTTCTTAATGGGCCATTAACACCCGGGCCGGTCTATTCTACATAACCAAGATCTACCTCTGGGCCAGTCTATTCTACATAACAAAGATCAAAGATCTACCTCTTTCAGGCAGAGCCGTTGCATTGCCCTTCATTGCACCGCCCACCGAGTTTCAACCAAAGTCAACGCACAGACAACCTACAAAGCTAGCTATGACCTCTGAGAGCAACCAATCGGGATACTCTTCCTGTGACCCAGGAAGTTCAAAGCCCAGAGAGGGAATAAAATCAAGGGACTCTTTTAGCATCGCTTCCCCTTTTTCTTTGCCTAAGAGCTCCAACAGGAGCGATCCTGTTCACCAGTAAACCTTCTTTCCAAACAACTTCCACGATTCCAGTGGTTTTTTTCTTTCCCATTTGGAACTGAACCCAGAAGGATATTTCTTCCAACGGTCCAAACGACAAAGTGATTAATCATAAGATGCAAACCACAAGGGGTGATGATAATGAGTAATGAAAACTATCAAGATGCTTAATACGGAGTCCGATCAAACCACCCGTCCTGCTTTCCGGTTCCACTGCTGATAATTCATTTTTAGAGGAATTCCGTGTCCTTGTCTCAGATGTCACAATTTGTGCCCCCAGCCACTTTTAATTTCATGCACCCGCTCTTACGTATTTCTGCCTTGGTTTATTTAAGTAATCCGCAGGAAATACGGCACACTAATGAAAGTTAAGCCACAATTTAAATGCACAGTCAGAACATGGTGGCAGGGACCACTTTCAGCCCCTCCGCAGTAACCCGCGTACTGTCTTTTTCTGTCTTCCGCATGCCAGAGACAAGCATTTATCCCTAAAAGCTGAAGTGAACCAAGTAAGTAACTATCAATATTTCAGGAGCATTTTAGTTGAGGGGGGCGGTTTGGGGGCAAGTTGGAATTGAGATGTTGAGAAACGGCAAAACGCTAAGGTAGCTTTCCCGGTCATTTGCAGAACAGGGAGTTTGCCAAAAACGAATATTGCAACTGCTCAGCTCATCACTGTGTCAGTCCGAAGTTCTTCAGATCTTATGGGGCCTTCTTGGTCAACCCTCTTCCTCCTCCTCCTCTTCCTCCTCTTCCTCATCTATTGCATTTCTATTTGATCTTTATTTTGTACAACTTAAAAGAGGTATACGTAATACACCACCCTCCAGCACAACAGGCTCAAAGTCAGCTTCGACACCTAAAGGAGATGGAAACTCATCCAGGAGAGATTCAACCTGAAATTAAGGAGATACTTCCTAACAGGGAGGACAATTAACCAGTGGAAGAGAAGTTGCCTTCAGAAGTTGTGGGTGCTCCATCACTGGAGGTTTTCAAGAAGAGACTGGACAGCCACCTGTCTGGATTGGTATAGGATCTATTGCTTGAGCAGGGGGTTGGACTAGAAGACCTCCATGGGCCCTTCCAGCTCTCTTCTGATTGAGAATTGTAAGTCAATGCCCCAGTATCTAGGCCAACATTTGTACTTATTAGTATTTCGATACGTTTTTCACAGTCCTGAACTGCCCTTGGCCACTGACTCATATTTATGACAATTGCAGGGTCCCAGGGTCACGTGATCTCTTTTGGTGACTTTCTGACAAGCAAAGCCAACGGGGAGGCCGGTTTCACTTAACAACCGCGTCATTGATTTCACCACTGCAGTGATTCGCTTGACTGTGCACAATCGTAAAGTGGGGCAAAACTCACTTAGCTGTGGGCTCAACTGTGGTTGTAAGCCAAGGACTACCTGTTCGAAACTCTTGCTAGGTCACCTGTAAAGTACAAGAGAACGAACTCCAGGGGAAGAAAGCTTCGTAGGCAGCATGGATGGCTTGAATGGTTTTTCTGTGGATTTCTTTAATTATTAGATAAAACGACAGGGGATGAAGACAGAAAAGGCTGTTTGAATCGGGCAGCAAATTAATATTTTTCTCCCCACACAGAGAATGGAGAATTGGCCATCAAAAAAAAAAAAAGAATTCCTTGAGCTACAAAGCAGCAGAGGTCTAATTTAAAGTTCCCAGCAGAAATGCAATTATTCAGCAGAAAGTTTCCTTTGACTTTGAGTTGAATGTCTACCCGATTCAGAATCATCTATCGGAATTTGGTATCTTTGGAAGGTACTTATTTGTTTGTGGGGTCCTTGGGGCTCTCTTGAGCTTGGCTGTTTCATGACCCGACTAGGTAACATCATCAGTGCTAGAAGGGACTAGGATTTGCAGAGCGGGGGGGGCTGTGGGGATCCTTGGTGTTTTCTGGGCTTGGTTGTTTGCTTGCAGACGTTTCATGACCCAACTAGGTAACATCATCAGTGCTAAAAGGGAGGAGGATTTGCAGGGGAGGAGGAGGAGGATTGTGGGGTCCCTGGGGGGTCTATGAGCTTGGCTGTTTGCTTACAGACGTTTCATAATCCAATTAGGTAACATCATCAGTGCTGGAAGGGAGCGTGGCTTGCTTCTAGTACTCCCTTCTAGCATTGATGACATTACCTAGGTGGGTCACGAAATGTCTGCAAGAAAAACAAGAAAGCTCAGAGAGCCCCGAGGGCCCCGCAGTTCAACTCTGAACTTTAAATATTCTCTTCTATAATACTTGTTTATTTAAAAGGTTTTTAGGACACCCTCTTATGTACGAAATATGTGAAGTCCCCGATTGTGGTTTTTTTTTCTGTGAGGTCAAGGATGGGGTTACTTTGCTTTGCTTGCCATCCATAAAAGAAATTTTTCTTTGAAATTGTGAATTCTTCTACCGCTGCCACTCATGTCTATAAAAAGTCGCGGTCTATTGTTTCACCTGATGAAGGTGAGGTTTGAAAGCCACGGTGATTTTTTTCCCCCCTCATCTACACACACCGTCACTTCAGAAAGCAGAAATCTTATTTCGAGAATATAATCGAAAAGCTATCTTTAAGAACAAGTCCCCAAAGAAATTACCTAAAGCTTCTGGCAGTACTTAACCTCAAAAAAATACGTATTTTATAATATATTCTAAAATCCCATTAAGCGATTTCAAAAGACCGAAGGGAGGGGGGGTTAAAAAATAAAATAAAAGAAAGAGCTAGAAGATAAGGCAAGATAAAGGAAATAACATCACTTAGCGGTTTAACCAAAATACACAACACGTTGCTTCGTTTTGTGTTGTTGTTTTTTCTCCATTTCACTGAGTATCCTTATTTTTAAAAAAGAGACAGGAGAAGCAAGCCTTCAAAGAAAGCAAGCATGCTTGAAAAGGCTACGGATGGGATTATATCTAACAGAACAAAGAAAAACACTTGGGGGAATCGACACCTACGGGGAGAAATATCAGTCTGCACCCGATGGACTGTGAGAATTGCCTAGATCAGTTACCGGGAAGCGTCTGCGGGCAATTGAAAGCAATTTCTTGGCGAACCTTAAGGAACACCTTCAAGTCCCCAGATAGGAGAACGGGGCAGTCAACGCTTATCACAATTGCCAGAAGGAAAAACTTTCAACTCTCTCTAGCGGGTTCCAAGGGGGGAAAACTCACCAATTCGCAAATCCAGCTAGGGGGACGGTTTTGCACTTTGGACCTAATTGCTGCTCAGTCCTTCTGATAGGGACCCAGCCGTAACAATTACCGTATTTCCCCATGTATAAGCACCCCCTTTGTATAAGCCCCCCCCCCCCCCCCCAATTTTTGGACTGTGAAGTTTTGAAAAAAAATATTTTATTAGAGAAACAAGTTATGAAGAAAGACAATTTACAAAGAAACAAAATTCGACGTCTAGATCTACAACTTCGGTCATGACGCCGAAAGCGGCGCGGGCGACGCTAGCAATCTACGCATCGGAACGAGAGTAGGAACGAAGCATTCAGGCCGATGCCTAGCGTATGCATTTCTATCGCGTACTCGCACTCGTAATCGTATCGTCACGTACAATTTTTACAAAAAAGTATAGCATACCGTTGGAAAACCAGTTTATTCCTACTTTATTATTTTATGCATTTTTCACGTATAAAAAGTGTACCTGCTTTGTATATGCCACCCCCCTACTTTTTGGGCTTGAAAATTTTGGGAAAAAGGGGTGGCTTATACATGGGGAAAATACGGTAAGAGAATTGACAGAAGAGCTGGAAGGGGCCTTGGAGGTCTTCTAGTCCGACCCCTGCTCAGGCAGGAAAACCTGTACCATTTCAGACAAATGGTTGTCCAGTCTCTTCTTAAACACTTCCAAGTGTTGGAACTTCTGGTGTCGAGTTGTTCCACTGATTAATTGCCCCGTCGAGAAATTTCTCCTTAATTCCAGGTTGCTTCTCTCTTTTGGTTAGCTGTCATCTGTTGCTTCTTGGCCTGCCCGCCCTCAGGTGCTTTGGGGAATAGGCTGACCCCCCCATTTCTCTGGGGCAGCCCCTCAAATACTGGAAGGCTGCTATCATGTCCCCCTTGGTGCTTATCTTCATTAAATTAGACATACCCAATTCCAGCAATATGTTTTAAGCCTCCAGTCCCCTCATCATCTTCGTTGCTCTTCTCTGCACTCTTTCCAGAGTCTTCACATCTTTTTTTTAACATTGGGGTGATCAAAATTGGATGCCGGATTCCAAGTGTGATTATATTAAATTAAATTAAATTCCAAGGGATTATAAAGTGGTATTAACGCTTCGTGCGAACTTGATTCTGTCTTTCTGTTAATGCAGCCTAGAATTTCTTTTAAGAAAGGAATTGTTGAGAAAACTTAACAACTAGCTTTCCACAGCCAACTCCTCTATCCCAAGCTTCTTCCTATTGTTCATTTATTTATATTCTGCCTTTATTGTTCTTTTTTATAAGCAACACAAGGTAGCAAACACATCCAACGCACCTTCCAATTCCTATTTTCCCCACAACAACCCTGTGAGGTGGGTTGGGCAGAGAGAGAGAGAGGGACTGGCCCAAGGTCACCAGTTTGGCTTTCATGCCTAAGGCAGGATTACAACTCACCATCTCCTGTGGATTGACCAAAAGTCACCCTGCCAGCTTTCATATCTAAGGCAGGACTAGAACTCCCAGTCTCCTGATGATTGATCCAACATCATCCAGCCAGATTCCATACCTAAAGCAGGACTAGAACTCAGTTTCCCGGTTTCTATCCTGGAGTCTTAGCCACAAGATCAAACTGGTTAGACTTTCTAGAGATTATTAGCTTATTCTAGAGTCACACATTATATCAGACCATTGCTTGCTTACCAATAGTTTATTTAATAAGTCATATTAGGTTGGTTTTGCACAGCATGCTAAACCATAAATTTCATTTTTAATTCACAACTGTACTTCAGATGGTGCACTCCGATAAGCCAAAACCAAGCAATTCAGATGTGACTTTAGGAAAAAAAATTGAATCAAGCCATATGGTCCCATTATGGAACTGCCCCATGGCGTATAACTATTTACAACTCAATTCCATGGGAATTACGTTCAATTTAACGTAAATATAACTTCAGCATCTGCAGATAATTTTTTTTTTTTGTCCATTTCCCTCCTTCCTTCCTTTCTGCGAGTTGAACTTTCCAAAAGAAACAGCACAACAAACTACAGAAAACAAAGCATAATTTGTGACATTCAAACTGCATCTCAATGACAGGATCCGGTGCCACGGTTTCAAGAATAATCTCATTAAGTTGCAAACAAAGTTTTGTTTCTTTTTTCCCACCCTGATTTAATGAGGCTGTTGAAGTTTTCAAAGGCAACCATTTTGGTCTGACGGGTATTTACTCAAGAGAAAAATCAGCCACATTCACTGGGGTTGGCTCCAAAACAAGTGTCTAACGGCGCTGCTGTCTTCATTGAACAGAGAAATCAGAGAAGGCAGGTACACTCACTAATTTAAAGTTTTTGACAAGTTCTACCCAAGCAATAGCATTTGCTAAATGCCAACTACCTTGTTGTAGGATGCCAAGACGACTCCATCCAGATATGGACACAACTAAAGGTTAGATCATTAGTCGAAGGAGTGGGTGGGGGGGAAATCAACAGATGTATATAAACCTACCCCACTGGCGTTTAAAATACAGAACACGAAGTCCTCGATTTACGACCGTAACGGAGCTACCCATCACAGTCATACCTCAAACAACAAACCACAGAATGAATAAGAGAGTTGGAAGGGACTTATGGAGGCCTTCTAGTCCAACCCCCTGATCAGGCAGGGAACTCTACACCACTTCAGACAAATGGCTGTTCAGTTTCTGCTTGAAAACCTCCAGCGTTGGAGCAGCCACAACTTCTGGAGGCCAGCAGTTCCACCGGTTAATTGTCTCCACGGTCAGGAAATTTCTCCTTAGTTCTAGGTTGCTTCTGTCCTCGATTAGTTTCCATCCATTGTTTCTTGTCC